TAAAGTATATTACATTAGCTTTAATTTAAGATATATATAAAAGTGTCAGACCTTCCGGAACATTTTCAAAAATCAAGTTGAAAAAATTAATTTTTTGTGAAAAAGTTGTCATTTTAAATCCCCTCTTGTGGGCAGGTTAAGGGTTCAATTTATGAAAAAAATATACCAAATGAAAGGTAATAACATCATACATCTATATAAAAATTTTTAAAAAAGTTACGGCAGTTTTTAGTTAAAAAAATTGAAAAAATTTCGAAAATTAGCGATTTTTCAATTTGTAATTTTTTTGGAGGTTTCCCCCATTTACGGGGAACGAGGGAAATTTTTTNGCGATTTTTCAATTTGTAATTTTTTTGGAGGTTTCCCCCATTTACGGGGAACGAGGGAATTTTTTTCAATTTTTGAGGGTAATGTCTTCGACTAGATACGATTTGTGATCTTTTGACGTATCATTGAAAGAAATCGGTTCGGCGAGAGCTGAGAAAAAGTGGTAACAGACACAAAAAAAAAAAAAACACATCTTAGTAAAACCAATACCTTCTCAGCTTCGAATCGAAGCTAAAAAAATACACATCATAGTAAAATTAAATCGTAGAAAGAAATCGGTTCGTGAGAGCAGAAAAATAGTGATAACAGATACAAAAAAAAACACTCGATAGTTAAATTAATACCTTCTCAGCTTTGTATCGAAGCTAAAACTAACTAAAGATATAGTAACATAATTCTTGGATTTGTTTTATTTTTTTATAGTCAATACATATTAAAAATAGTATATTAGAGACAAGGTTATTTAACAATTAAATACAGTTAAAACGAAATTAACTTATTTTTTTCTTTTGACTTTTAAAGTAAATATTAGAAATTGTATTTTCGTCTACGTCATAAAAACCCAGATTTGTATACAGTTTTTCATCCATATCCTGAATACCTTTTCGTAAAAGTTCTTCTAAAAATTCAAAATATGAAAACGTTTTTTCAGTTTTATTTTTATTTTTTAAATAATTTTTATAATGGCGATCTTCGTTATCCAACGCAATATGGTCAATAAGTTTATAATTTTTGATTATCTTATTCAATTCACAATTTTTAGTAAAGTAGATATAGGCTCCATCATAAATCGTGTTTAAATATACATCTTTATTTACATTTTTTACTTGGCTTACCAATCTAATAAATTTTACTAATTCTTCTAAAATAAACGGATTGGTTTTGATATTTAACAAATTCTTTAGGATATTTATTGCATTGATAAATTTTTTTATAATTTGTTCGGATTCCTCAACACTTGATATCAATATCTCCACACAACGAGATGAATCTTTTTGTAAATTATATTTGATATGATCACATTCTCTAATTATTCGTTTTATGTGATCCATAATCCATGCAAAACTTATGGCGTACTCGTTGTTAATAAGCAATATTGTATCATATATTTTTTGATCAACATTATTTATATCGACGATGTTTAAATTATCACCTTCATCAATTAATAGATCGTATACTAACATATGAGGCATATCACTTTTGTTTGTATAGTCATGCACGAAGTTATTCGAAGGATTCCAGTTGGTCAATTTTAGAAATGAATTTAAAAATTTAATTGCATTCTCTTTGTCGCATTCATCTTGTCCATTCGTTGCGTTGACTACCAAGATAAATATAAAGATGTTATAAATCATTATAATTAAGTGATGTAATACGTAATTATTGAAAAATACAGTTATTACTTAAAAATACGTATAGCATGCAATTAAGTTTAATTAAAAAATATTATATTTTCTTCCAATTTCAAAATTAACAAGTTTATTATGTGATGGCGTACTACGTAATGTAAAATAAACACGTCACAAATGTTTTATGCGTGTTCAATTGTTATTAACAGTGTGTTTATTTCACTTATAATAAATTTACCTACCTTGAAATATAATATTTTTTCGATTTTATTGCGAAATAATCGTATTTATTTTATTAACTTAAAGAAGTAGATAAAAAAAAACGTTTAAACAAATTCAAAAATTCAAAGTAGCTTTTGTAAAGGTAAAATAAATTTAAATTTATATTTAATCTAAGTTAAATTCTTGTAAATTTTATAAAAATTGATGGAATTCTTACTACAACAAACCCTTGTATAGGTATTTTAAAATAAATAAATAAAAAATAAATTAAACACAAAAATAGTAAGTTTTTTAACTACGGTGGCCATTTGCAAGTAGTAGATAAATCGTCTGGACAAATTGCTTTTTTTAAATTTATAGTACGTAATATAAGCTTTAATTTACCATATATTTTAGGGATGCAGTGTTTCCGGAATGTTTTCATAACATAAGTTGAAAAATTTCTATTTGGAATCCCCCTGTGGGCAAATTAAGGATCAAAGTTTGAAAAAATACATAAGTTTTCAATATAAAAATAAATAATTTTGATTTTTTTATTATTCAATAAGTTATAGTAGTTTTAAGTACAAATATAACATCACGATAGTAGGTGATTTTTTATACAAATATGGCATTTGTCGTTCAAATTTGTCGGCCAATTGCACACAGAAGTCCCCCATTTACGGAGAACGAGGTAAATTTTTTCAGTTTTTTAGGGTATGTCTTGGACTAGATATGATTTGTGATCTTATGACGTATCGTTGAAAGAAATCGGTTTGGTGAAAGCTGAGAGAAGTTGGTAACAAATTTAAAAACAACACATTANGTGAAAGCTGAGAGAAGGTGGTAACAAATTTAAAAACAACACATTATAGTAAAATTAATACCTTCTCAGCTTTGTATTGAAGCTAAAAAAGGAAGCTTTGTCATTGTTAAACTTAGCAGGAATTCATTACGTTGAGACTTTTTGATTTATACTTTTTGAGTACTTCGTAGTTTTTGCATGGCGTTTTTAAACTTCTTTTAAGCTCACTTGATATTTTTCAAGAAAGGAGCCTTGTTTTATAAATTGCACCCTTTCGCTTCAAATATGAATACAACTTTATTGTCTCATGTATCTATGTCTGGCCATCAATGCGACATAATTATATAAGTGAGGTTAAATGGCCGTTCTTAAATATAGATTATATTTGTACAGGCACCTAAAAATGAGAAAAATTAGCTTCTTGAATGAACTTTCATGCACAATAGTAACTAAGTATTATATTTAATAGCGATATTGAATTTTGATTATTTTATATTTTACATGAAAAATATTTTAGACACAATGATGAAACAAGAATAAAAATTTTTGATAATTCAATAATACGTATTAAAAATTACATCTTAATTAAACAAAAACAATTAGGAGAGATGGGAGATTAAAGAATTTTTGTTAAGGATGAATGCCCCAAGAACTTCCCTATTTATGCCATTGACTATGGAACTCTCAAAGGATAATAAAAATAGTCTTACGCTGTAGAGCAATGAAATACTTTCTTCCTACAACCAAATCTTTATACTTCTCTGATTAATATTATTATTTAACCATTTTTACAATAAATTCAATTAAGTGATGATTATACTATTTGTGACCTACTTACATTTGTGTTAATATTATCACGGTTATTGATTTAAGTTTTAACAAGTAAAGTTTATACTTTTTATTATTACATTCTATTCACATTGTACCTGCTGTTAGTAATTTGTTCGTTCTAACAGGTAATAATACTGAAATCTAATTAACAGTCATATGAAATGAATATTTGCGTTAATTATATATAAGTGATGATACTATTAGTATCAATTTCAAAGACTAAATTTGATTATCTGATCGTTATATTAATAAGTTATTTTAAGTATTAGTAGTCTACACTCTTGTTTTTTAAAAAGTGAAGTTAAACAATTTATAGTTATTGTTTGTCAATTATTAATCAGTAGGAAAAATCTAACATTTGGAGTTTTTTTACTCAAACAATCGAACAATTGAAAAAAAATTGTTTTCATGTAACTATAAATCTAAATCTGTAATTTTATATTTTGGTACTTATCGCTTTAATTAATTCCACCGCGTGATTAGTTATATTCGTATTTATTTTATACACTATTCTGGGTAGTCATATTTGTTTAAAAATAAACCATTTAAACAATTTTTCTTTTCATAACCTACGTCAGCATAGACTATTGGGTAGACAATTACAAGTTAAATTTTCACAATTTAGTACTAATATTTAAAGGAAAAGATGCACACAGCACATAATTTTTATATATAAATTAATACTATGAGCTTATTTTAGAGTTTTTAAGTAAATAAGTACTTGCATGGTTTTTTTAGGGCGTTATGTCTTCTGCTCTTTTAATCAGGTTAAATGCGCGTTAAATAGTCACCTTATTATAGACACATAATAGTAACTCGACAATTTTTTACAAATAACCTTGCCATTTTACTATAAAAACGTGGATGTGTTTGTTAATTTACATATAAATTTAGTATCAATATACTCTTATACTTGTCGTTTATTATAATATAATAAATTGTATTATACAGAGTGTTCAGTAATAAAGACAACATGTCAGTTATTACGTACAATGAAAACAATAGAAACCCGTTTCCTTACTTACTGAACATTCTATATAGAAAAAGCATATTATGCTTCTTCTAATATCTGAAAAACAATTACATTAATGATTTCTTTGTACTAATCTTTAAAAATAATAAGATAACGCAAATCACTATTCTTTTTTAATAGTAATATCAAAGTCTTAAGACTATTCTCTACTAAAACAAATACACCGAACAATATCAAAATTGATCCTTTATAAACTTAAATTAAATTAAAGTTTATACCACAAATTTTGTGGTATTGACTTTCTTTTGTCTTTTTTAGTTGTTTTAGAGCTGCACTCTATGTTTTTTTCAAGTTAAAATGTAGAACATTCACTTTTAGCTCCGATTAAAAACTAAAAATTTATTAATTTTACTATGTGTTTCTTTTTTTTGGACTTACCTTCGTGGTGAAGATGGCTACCGTCTGCAAAAGTATGCTGTTTTTGTGTTACAATTTTTAATTCATTATTTTATATATTTTACTTTACATTGATAGGACTTTCTGAAAAATGTTTATATCTATACAATTTGTTTTTGTAAATATTTTATACAAGTCCCATCTATAAGTCACACTTTTTTTTAAATCAGACTAATTACCCTTATACAGAGATATCAAAACTTTAAATACAAGTAGAGAGAGTAGACCTTTTTCAACTTATCTTAGAAGATGTTCCAGAAATCCTGACACCTATATATATATATATATATATATTTTTTTTTAAAAATTTAATAAAAATAATTAAAAACTTATAAAATATAATTTATGTGGCGGTCGAATGTTCTAGAGAGTTCCGCCGCCGCCTCTAGAAGATTCCTCTGACTATTTAAGGGCAAGATCGTCGCTCCAATCAATCAATCGATCAGTCAATCACTTACGCACTCTGTCTTAAACGCGCTTCGTCTCTCGCTGTTATTTGTTAGTTCGTTGTAATATAGTATAGTTGTTATTAAATCATAAAAGTGTTTATTACTTCTATATATAATACACCTCGCTACATTTACTTTGTGATATGTTTGAGTGGGTTACGGGGATTGCCACGAACTGATTTTGTTTCTAAATTCACATATTTGGATATTATAACATATGTTACAGTACACTTTTGTAACACTATGATATAAAAAAAAAAGAACGAGAGGGTAGATAGGCTTCAATATCCGGTAATCTTTAGTATCAGATATTCGAAGTACCAAATATTCAGAGTACATAAGTGTCGGAGCATTATCAATTCGTTGCAAGAGTGTTTTCCCTGTTTATGTTCGTTGTGTGATCTTCTATGTCATAAATGCCACTTCGACGAACATGTTGGCAGATATTAAATTGTGTACACTCTACACTCCACTTTATATAACTATTTTTTATGCTCTGAACGCCATTAAACGTATCATTAAACGTCTATTACATTGTCTAGTATAGGCTCAATAACTGTTATCTTTGGTTTCTTTAATTTTCGACTGACTTTAACCTCTGTCATAAGCTCTAAGCACTTTCAATGGTCTGACCAGTACGATACGTAGGCTCTCAGGGAACAGTATGTTTCAGCAATCAAACTCAAAATTATATTAATAGAAACCGTCACTTTAGCAAAAAAAAAGTACTAAGTATCTTAAAGGTTACATATAGACTAACAACAACATTAACTTCAGTACTCAAGACCCTCGATAATTTACTATTTCCTCACTCAAATTCACATTTTCACTGTAGTTATCTACTAGATGTAACGAAATCTAATCATCATTTTGATAATTGGTCAAATCACAATCATCAGTTTGCGATCATATCATATACCCGCAAACAGTTTATTTACATAACTCTTATTGACAGGCGCTATTTAAAAAAAATTGTAATCTGTTTTAGTGTAGTATATTTAAACATACACATACATTTCTGTATATCGAAAATTATTTATATTTATTTGCTTATGTATTATATATTTTTAGTGGTACATATTATTGGATAACTAGCACGAGCGTCCATTGAATTCAAGAGGAGAGACACATCCTCTCTGAAAAATATGTGATCCTCCAGAATGAATCTTTAAAAAAAATTATGTATATATCGGTTTTATCAAAAATAAAACTAATATTATTATATGTTATGTTTTAAAATTTATAAATATATGATTAAATTTACATATGATTATTTTACATTACAGCAACTTTTTTTCTACTGAAATATAATTAAAAATAAATGTTTGATATCTAAATATAAAAGGTTCTGTATAGATTTTATCAAATGATCGCCGATGTGTACTAGTACTACCAAAACAAATATTTTGCTCCGTATAACCTTCATAAACGGCAAAAGCACCTCCTACAATTCAATTTGGACCAATTTGTTTGCATAATTTTTTAAAACATTTAACATTTTAAAGAAAATTTAGTATGTAATAATTATTAAATTAATTCAAAGATTTTTAACTCTCAAAATATTCTCTTATACCTGTTTTTAATTTAAATTTCTTATTTAAAGTAATTAAATGTATATAAAATACTAAATACATTACTGAAAAAAGTTTAATATTTTAAAGTAATAAAACGCATAACACTATTTTCAATGCGTATAGTTAAGAGCTATGTGTAAAATAACCTAAACATATTTTGTAAATATTGCTTTTGAGGAATTTAGTTTATCAAAGACTATAAAATCTTTTGGATGTTTTTCGAAACTATAGCCAACATTTAACAAAAAAATTCCTTAATTCTAACAATAAAAAAAGAATACATATTTTTAAATTCTGGATGGCTAATATGATAAAATTTTGTATATTTAGTAACTTAATATTAAAATATTTTTAAAACGATTGACTTATCCTTTGAATATTGAATAATTAAAGAAATAAAAATTGTAATGTGTTTAAATTAAAACAAGAATTTTTTAATTAAGTAATCTTATTATTCAATTATATCATAATTTAATTTAAATGATAAAAATATATAATAATGAACTATAATCCCTTTTTTTATTAAATAAAGTGGTTTTTTTAACAAATATTATATTATTGGTGTGTTTTTAAAATAATATAATTTTTCCATTGTCTTTGAAATAGAGTTTAATGGCATTTCAATGTTTCCTATAGTAAAAATAAAATATTGTTTTAAAATATATTTAAATTAAATTATATATTTAGAAAGGAAATAATAAATTTCTACCATTCGATAAGTTGTAAATATATATTCGTTAAAGATTTGTTAATTTTAAAGGAAATATCGATTTATATGGATCTGATATTGAATAGTATCGATCAACCTTTGAAATAATCTATGTACTTTATAACCGGTGTATTCATAAAAGTGCAAAGAAAGTGTAGATAAAAATAATATGATCTATTATCAAAATCCGATGACTTTATAAATGGTTACCTAAACGTCATCTACGATAAAACGTTTGTTAACTAAATGACAAATGTCTAGATATTTTATTAATCTATGAGATGTCCATCTTTTCCAAAATTCATTTTATCATATTTCATACACTTTTACATAACACATTATGATAAAACTACAAATGTCTTATGGTAGTATCGATAAATCGATATAAAAAATATAGCATGGTCTTTTTTGTATAATAACCAATTTTGTATACATATTCATGTCATAAAATTTGGATTAATGTGTCTATGATATTACACAAAATAAGTTGTCATAAATAATTATATTACTAATAATGCAAGATAAGAGATCGGATGTTTTCAATTTTTTTATTTTATAATTCTATTGTGAAGTTAAGTGCAAGTAAGTGGTTTACTTTCATGAAAAGACTGAATCATAACTTTGACGTTACATCAATACATGTTAATACAACATTGTCTAATTTCAAAAAGTTAAGTACAGTTGGGAACTAGCGTAGTGAAGTTGAGGCATTTTTTAAAACTATTATTGATTGTTATTTTACAATGATTAAAATCCATCTCGTAAAACATTTTGTGCGACGCGAAATACTCGGACGACCAATCGCCGAATGAAATCACGTCTCTAAAGGTTTCTTAAAATAAAATTAAAAAAAAAAAAACGTTTTTAATGGACTGTAATTTATTTACCGAGTTTAATATGTATTCTCTAATACAGTAACAACAATGGTTTATCTTAAATCTATTGTTAGTATTTATATTTAAATTAATATACTAAGATACAACAATATAAATTCTTAGCAATTAATATTTAGACAAGCAGAAAATGTATAGTCTGACCTTGCTTTCTGTACCCAAATGAAGATGGTGAATGTGTCAAGTAAAGCAGTTGAGCCCGATGCAATCAACAGAGTGAATTGAACACATAAAACCGTCAAAGAAAACAAAACCAACAAAATAACGCACTTGAGTCCGTGATACACAAAACCACTCTAGGCATGCCGATACGCGAATGACACCTTCGCGACCACCGCCACACACTACCCCAACAAGTAAACCAGTTGTGACAGGTCGCGCTCTTGTTGAAGAGAATAAAAAACCGGCGCTCACCCACCAAACTGTTTCGTCACGACCGAACATATTTCAATGCATAGTCGGTATCATTTCAAATAAGTATCTATTTGAAACAAGTTAAAAAAAAAAGTGTTTGATATTTACCAAAAATTACATGATTTTTGACTTGTGACAATAATTACTCATTGTGGCAGAGCTGTGCTATGGAAAAACAATGGGGTTTAATGATCTACGGCATCACACATTTGAGCGATGCCAAAAAAAAATATATGAATACATTTCGTATAAGATGTATTTTGTTTAAAAATATATTAAATAGAGTCACCAAATTAATGATTGCCCTAGAGCATAAATCCTGGTTACCACGGCACTATATAGAGAACAAGTCGTCATATGTTTTTTTTCAATCATGTATTACACAAAAAACCTTAAATTTGATTTAATTTAAATGATGTAGATGTTCTTTTGCTATGTAAATCATGTTAAAATCAGCCATTTTTACAAAAAAATATATAATTTTTGGTTTAATGCTCTATAATTTTATTTATTTTGATAAACCATGGTAAATATCAAGACTATTATAAGATTATAAGAAAATTATTTTTAAGGTAGCTTTAGAAAATTAAAGAGGAATCTATTTTCAGTTTTTTATTATTAATGAACAATGATCTAACTAAGACGCCCACGAGTCCATAAACAGTTTTATGTCATTACTTTTTAAAGTGTTAGCATTTATATATTTAAAGAAGGTGAGAAATGGAATAGTATATAGAGAATCACTATTTCAACCACAATTACATTTTCTATATAAAGTTAATAAATAATATGTACCACTTGTTCATTTTTTATCTTCTTTTAATTAATAGTAAAATTTAAATATATTTTATAAAGCTATATTAGGCTTGAAAACTTTCTTCATATTGTTGACAACAAAATAGAAAATCATTTAACATGAGTAGGCGTTATCTACGAGTAAAAATGTAAAAAATTTAATTTCAATAAATAAACAGTTTTTCTTTTAACACCTACAAAATAATAATAATAAAATATTTTTTACTCCATACCAGTATGTGTTAAAAAAAATTATAAATTTCTTACTATGTCATACTTTTTGTTCAATAAATAAAGATCTTTGTTACACTAAATTAAATTATTAAATGAAAAATACAATTTAGTTGTCATATGCGACGTTTACCTTTAAATTTAACAAAGATTTACTATTTGTACAGAATAATTGGTCATTGCTATGTATGTTGCAATATTTTATTTTACATGAAGACAATTTGTCTAATCCCTCATGTTTTCTTTACTTGATCTGAATTTAAATAAAAAGTACAAAAGATAGGCTATACAAAATAGTATTATATTTCTGATTTTTGTAAATAATATTATTTATAAAGATCAAGTGATCGAATAAAAAATAAATAAAAAAAATGTTATATAGAACAAGTTTTATACAAAGATTTTCTGAAAAACATTTGACTTTTATTTGCATACAATCTCAGGGGGATAAAGTGATCTCAAAAGAATATGGAATTGAGTAACATGTATGAAAAGTCAAAATTTAAAAGAAAGTCCATAAAAAGGCATTGGCAGTATTAAGATTACACAATCTAGGACTAACCAAAATCTACTTTTGTGATTGCCATTGAATAGTTAGAACAGAAATGACTAAGTCTGATCAATGAATCGTGACTGAAATATAAGTCGGAAATTTAAAATTTTTAAGTAAGGAAAATAAACCAAAGTATGAACTCTTGGGAAAAGAGTTTAATAAAATTTGTTTTCAGTTAAAATAATATTTGTCTATTGTTGAGAAAACATTTTACTTTTTAGCAATTTATAGTTGACCTACTTGATAACAAGTAACAATGAAATTATAAACAGCTACAGAGTACTATAAAGAACAAAATAAATGTTTAAAATGTTTATTGTCTAGTTATAAAGTAATTAATATATATGACCAATTTTTTTGTTAGGTGCAAATCTGAGAAGGTATTGTTTTTATGATAATATGAGTTTTTTTTATCTGTCCATGAAAATTCTCAACTCTCACTGTACCCATTTTAATAAATAATAAATCAAAAGAACCCAAATTTAATAGAACCTATCGTCATCAAAAATTAATAAAGGCCCCTTCAATTTTAGAAATTTAGAAAAATATATTTAAAAATTGTGCTACCATAATTTTCCACTCAATTTTTGAACATTTTTTGAAAGGTATAATCTTTATAAAATTAAAGACCTTGAAATAAATTACAATATACAAAAAAAAATTGTTCTTCTAGGAGAAATCGGCCGTAAAATTAAAAAAAAACATAAAAATGACAACTCTACAAATTATTGTGAATTTTAATTGAATCGAAGGTATGTTTATAATAGTAATGTGGAGTACTTCCAGATTATATATATATTTTTCCTCACTATATCGCGTCCACACATTGTTGTGCTGGGTTTTTTAGTTATATTACTATCAAAGATATTGCCCATATTTTACATATTATAAAAGGTGATATTTTTATTCCCTCGATCTTAGTGGATTTGTTATTTTTACCATTGCCCGTTATTTTGCCTCCACTGTATATTTTAAAATGTTAATAACTTATTAAAATACTAGTTCAATAGTTATTTCGACCAATCATTATATTAATTCGATCACTTTTTATTTTATTTTATGTGTATGTTGTCATTCAATAAAAATAGGTTGACACCTCCATGAATGAATGAATGAAAAACATACTATAAATTAATAATTCCAGAAATATATAAAATTAATAAACACCAAAGAGAATTTTCTTCATATAATTAATGTTTCAAGAAAAAACCAGTGGCGAATATTAAAATGATTAATCTATATTATGTTATAATAAATTGTATTATAAAATATGTTTATATATATAACAGCATAACTAGACACCAACCAAGATACTAGAGAAAAATTAAATTTATCATTTAAAACCTATGGTATGAATATATTTTAAATATTATTTGATCAAGTACACCACGCCACATTATTTTTTGACTGTTTAATACGACTGTTCTCGTAATAAAACACTATTTTAACACTATATTTATTTTCCACTTTCAATTGGTAGGTATCATGTGGAATTCTGTCAAAGTTACCAACAATTATATGTTCGTTGTTAAGATTAATTGTTGTTGACTCAGCAAGTCTAGATAATTGCTTCAAAATGTGGTCTGTAATTTTATACATCATTTTATTTAAATAATTTAAGAGAATAACTATCTTGCTTTCGTTTAACAAAATTGGCTGTCTTGACCAAATTTGTTCAAGTGCATGCGTTGATATGATAGAAATTGTTCTAATTTACATTTAATGTTTCAACTTTATAACAGTTTGAAGTGCGAAATGAAACTCTTATGTAAATAAACATTAAGATTATATTAAATTTATTCAAGTATAAGTTGTTTTCAAAATTCCGAATAAATTATAATTTTATGATCTGGAAGAAAGACCAGCAAAAAAATGACTTTACAACCATTAGTTTCCTTTATTTTTGAACATCAAACGATTAAAAGTTGATTTTCAGTAAATTTGTTATTTAGAAATACATTCATCATTCTTTTTAATGAACTTGAACTAAAAAAACAACTTTGAACTAAAATGCGACGTATTTTAATTTAAAATGTTTCATTTGTTAAATTTTCTCTATTGTAATTTTAGTTTATGTTATTTTATTAAAAATATAAAATTAAACTTAAACTGTACATAAAATTTTAAATTATTACAAAATGGAACAATAATATTAATTTTATAATACAATTGAATAAATTTTGTGGATAATAATATTTTGCATTTTCCAAGTAACTCAAGTGTTTCTTGATTATAGTTTGTATGTATAAATTAATTTGTACTGTTTTCTTAATTTGAAAATAAAAATACGTCATTTAGAATAATATTTTTAACAACACTAAAGCTCTTTTAAAAACTAATGTTAATATAATTTTATTTATAATATAATAGAAATAATGTTATTTCTTACAATTAAAAAATATTTCTTATGGTTATTTTATATATATAAATTTTTTTTTTCAAAAACTTATAAATGACTTATATAAATATATATAGATATTTTTTCTTTTTTTGTTTAATTATCTCCAGAGATTTTATTTAGCAGAATTTAATTATTTACGTACTCCGGTTTTCGATGTCGCGAATAAAAGTACCAATTCAAACTGAAGAACTTTTACCACGCGGGTGAAATGTTGAGGAGTTTAATTATCACTTAAGAGAGCGTTTTACGGGTGAAAAAGCGGTACAAAACTTATGACTGAAATTTCCATGATATTTCCATTTAAGTCGGCATTAAAACAAAATCATTTGTTATAAAATTAAAGAGAACAACTGGATAAATTCAACAGCATAACAAAAGAAAATCTCGTTACAAGAAATAGTAAGTAAAATTGCAGTTTTTACAGTAGATTTCCTTCCAAAATTATGATATTAAATTTTATTCTGGTTAACCTTAATTATGAAATCTTAAATACTTAAACACGTTTACTTGCACAAAGGCTGTAGTTCATTGTTTTTCTACTGTTAATGTAAAGTAAAAATTACAAACCTTATGGAAGTCAAGATTTTTTAATGCACTGAAAGTTCTTTTGTTCAGTAGTAATTATATAAGTCGGAAATATAAGATTCAAACATATATTTATCTTTTAATAATCAAAAATGTTTGTTTTTCTTTTTATGCAAGCATAATTGTTCTGAACTGAAGTTTTGTTTTCATACAAAAGAGTAGTAGAATTTTAATTTAGCAGTTCACATTTATTTGTCATTTAAGTTTAAGAAATTAAAAAAATATATAATATATAACTACTTAATTAGTTTTCTCTTTGAATTCTAATCTTGACATCTTAATATGAATGTTCTTAGTTATAAAATGTTTATTATATTATTTGTATTTAATTAATATTGTAAGTGTTCTTAATTGAAATGTAAATTTTTTTTTCTAATTTGAAAAAACAATTTTTTTTTATGCTTAAGAAATTATGTTGATAGCTAAAATGTATGTAAAAAATTATATTTTAGTGTAAATATTTATTAAATTATATTATGTTGTAAGAAGTTATTAGTATATATTCCCTGCCTATGCATATAACTGTCAAAAGTCGTACAAGATTGAACGAGTTTATAAAAAAATATTTAAAATATGCCTTGAATCAATAAATCAGTTGATATGATCACTGCACAACAAAAAATCAAATATTTTCTGCGGCAAACAATTTGACAATAGAATCTGAATGGAATTTTGTCGCTGATTCCGAATCTGGCCATAGAATTATCAAATTAATAATTCTAGATTATTAAAGGTTCGATGCGAAGCTGAGAAGGCAATTTATAATAGATTCTACTATTTGAGATAATAATTTATAATTAATGACTACATAATTAAAACACAATTTAAAGCTTTAATGAAGTAGTTGCAAATCTATGCTTCAAGTTAAAGACAATACACAAGGCATCCAAAATTGATTTTGATAGTTAATTTTACAAAAATCAAAATTTTGATATTACAACAATATTTTTATGAAAATTATTTTTAATTTTAAAATTAAAGTGATTAGAAGTATATAATATTGATGTCCTTACAAAATATACTTTCAATGCGAAGTTGAGTAGGCATTAATTTAACCATCATGTATTTATTTATTTCTTTAACCCTTTATTTGATTTATGATATCATAAACAAACAATTTTTTTTTTTTATGTAGAAAAAGATACAAAAAAAAAACCCAGCACAGGGGGGTCGCGGCACAGTGGTGCCGTGGTATAGTTGGATCAAGTATAATGATATCTGACAGTGATTAAAATTACTATCAAAAATAAACGCTTCGATGCAAATCTTTAGATTGTGTTTAATTTTAAAAAAATTGGAGTATTATTCCAAAAGCTACATGATCTGCTAGTTTCTTATGAATATCTTGATTAAGATAAAGTATGTCGAATGAAAAAGGGATTATTAAAAAATATTCTTTCTCATAAAAAAATTGTGTTGATCCATACACTTTTCAATAAGTTATAGCATTATAAAGTTAAAAATATAAAAAATAAAATCGAGAATTTTCAGAGGTCAAATTTTTTTTTTTCAAATTAAAGTACATTACATTAGCTTTAATTTATGATATATATAAAAGTGTCAGACCTTCCGGAACATTTTCAAAAGTTAAGTTGAAAAAGTTCTACATTCTATATGCATTTTTTATATTTGAAGCCCCCCCATATATAGGGAAATAGTCTGATTTAAAAAAAAAGTATATCCAATGAAAGATGTATATAAATACTACTTCTCATGAAAAAATTGTATTGATCCATACATTTTTTAAAAAGTTATAGCACTTTAAAGTAAAAAATGTAAATTATAAAATCGAAAATTTTCACACAAAAATAGCATTCGGTAGCCGTTTTCACCATGAAGACAAGTCCAGAGGTCAAATTTTTTTTTTTCAAATTAAAGTACATTACATTAGCTTTAATTTATGATATATATAAAAGTGTCAGACCTTCCGGAACATTTTCAAAAGTTAAGCTGAAAAAGTTAATTTTTTGAGAAAAAGTTGTCATTTTAAATCCCCCCCTGTGAGCTGATTAAGTGTTAAATTTACAAAATTTCTATGCCAAATGATAGGTAAAGACATCAAACATCTATAAAAAAAAAAATTATATTGATATGTTCATTTTTGAAAAAGTTACGGCATTTTTTAATAAAAAAAAATTGAAAAAATTTCGAAAATTAGCGATTTTTAAATTTGTAATTTTTTTGGAGATTCCCCCCATTTACGGGGAACGAGAGAAATTTTTTCAATTTTTAAGGGTAATGTCTTCGACTAGATACAATTTGTGATCTTTTGACGTATCATTGAAAGAAATCCGTTCGGTGAGAGCTGAGAAAAAGTGGTAACGGACACAAAAAAAAAAAACACATCTTAGTAAAACCAATACCTTCTCAGCTTCGCATCGAAGCTAAAAGTACTTATGATAAAATATTATTATAATCAAGTAATTTTGTAAAAAAAAAAAACAATAACTTGTGGAGAGGCTTCGTATTAGCGGGATTAACGAACAAAATAATGAGAAATTTTATATCTAACTACTAAAAAAATTTTGTTTTAAAAAAAAAACTCAATTGTTTAATTTTGTTTAAATCTCTATTTCTATGTAGCCTTTCAGTACAATACTATAAATTGCTAATTTACAAACTTTTGATTTTGATATGTATAAAATATTGAACTTATAGGCTACTGTATAGAATGAAATAGGAAATTATTATAAAGATGTATTTACACGTGTTACACATAAAAAAAAATCAATACATTTAATAAACTTTATTTGTCAACCCTTTATTTTAATAACGAAAGAAAAATTGATTTAGTGAACATAAATAATGCTTTGATATAAATTTTATTGAATTAATAAACGTGTGTTCAATATTTAATAAATATTTTGAAAAATTCATCTGCTTTTAATAAAACAATAAAGTAAAAAAATATATCTCAATTCACATTCGGAAAATCATATATGAAAATAATATAACTAAATCGACAGCTGTCGAAATGATAAAATTCATTATTAATCATTACTAAATTATTCCATTTGGAAAAATTTAGCTAGTAGTAAACACTAGCTGTTGACATTATAAAAAGCTATTATCACTAAACTATCCGCTAAAAACTATGCTATGCTAAAATGTTTACTAGCTTAGTTGATAGTTGAGTCTTATAAATTGTACATTATCGTGTTGATAAAATATTTATAGATTTAATAATAACGTAGTTATTATTACCTTTTTAATAGTTTGTTATTGAATATAATGTTTTTTTATTGATACAATCCATTAACATCATTCAAGTTAATAAATTATTTTAACTTACTTTGCAGTTTGATAACGGAATTTCTATGAATATTTAGGGTAAATATACTAAAAAGTACTTCTTACATTCACTAATCAAGTTAATACTGACGAACAATTTTCAAACCTAATTTTGAATTGGCTGTAAATCGAGTGACGTCAACGATGATTGTGTACATCAATCAAGTTAAATTAAGAACTAAATAATACTTGTACGTGTTAATTTAATTAAAACATAAATTTGTAGTAATAGATTAAAATAAGATAGTTAACAAACTATATAGTAAAAAAACCAAGCGGCACAATATGCACGTGACATAGTTTGGACAAGAATAGATGATAGTAATTAAAATCACTATCGTAAGAAACGAATCGATGTAAATCTGTAGATAGTGTTTAATTTTAAGAAATTGATGGACTATTCCAAAAGCAAAATCTACTCTTATTTCCTTATTTATATCATTATAAAAAGTTTTATGATCTATAAGTATAATACATGAATAAATAATTATTACTGTAATTAAATACACTATGAAATAGATAATTAAACATTCAGTATTGTAACTTTTATGGCGAACGCGTATAAAAAAAAAATGTGTTCAAAAACAATTTTATATATAATTTTTTTAAGGGTAATTATGGAGCCAACCTCGTAGAAATAGTACAAAATAAAAAATTTTTTTTTTTTTTAAGTTATATATTTAAAATTAAAATAAATATTTTTATATAAAAAGTAAGGGAAATTTGTTCCCTAACCCCCTTTCTTAATACACCAATTTAGTTTACGTTAATTTCTTAAAAACACTTTCATATAATTTGTTACATTTTTTTTTAAATTTTCAATTTTTACACAAATTGTAAAATCAAACTTTTTTTTCGTTTTTACCATAAAGTCAAATTTATTTTTCAAAATAAAGAATATTAAATATTTATATAAAAGTGTAAATATTTCCGGAGCATTTTCAAAAGTTAAGTTGAAAAGGTTCTATTTTTTGTACGCGTGTTGTAAGTTTTGGCCCTCTGTAAGGGAAATGGTCCGATAAAAAAAAATATGTCGGATGAAAGGAGTACATAAGTAAAATCGTATTAATTCATATATTTTTCAAAAAGTTATAGAAACATAAAAAAAGAAGTGTAAAAATTAAGTATGTTATGGGTATAGACCATATCTTCAGCGATTTTAACGAACGCGTTTCCAATCCAGTAATTGTACAATGCATTTCCAGAATGATGAGCTAATTTGAATTTTCCAAGGCCTTTTTCTCAATTTCAAAGGTAGACAAAAAGAATTAGATTTATAAAAAATATTTGTTTTAAATAAAAAAGAAATACGTAAGGATTACAAATAAAATTATTTTGGTTCGTTCATTTTTCAAAAAGTTATAACAGTTTTAAGTACTAAAATACAATCATGATAAAAGGTGAGTTTATACACGAAAATTGAACTTTTTATTTCAATTTCGACGGCCATTTTCACATGGTAGATCGTCCGGACAAAATTGTTTTTAACTTATCGTACATAACGTAAGGTCTTATTCAACAAATATACACTTAAAGATTATACACTTGCACAGAAATCTCAAATAGATATAGTTTAACAGTAATAAATGTATTAATTAAAAAGCATAACTTTTAGCCAAAAAATATATTATATTCTCTAATCGAAAAATCTAATAATATAATAAATTTAGTTAGGTTTTTAATTAATTATTTATTAACTGACCATAAAATAATAAATCTAGTATAATTATTGTACTTGGCATAAAAAATTAAACTTTTAATATATTTTTTTTTTTTATAAAGAATAAGCGTTTTTCAAAGAATAAAATAAAAATAAATAAGTAAAAATAAACAAAATTAGTTATATTTTTAAGACTTTTACACGTTTTTTACTTTGTGTAATATTTTTGTAGGCTATTTATTAAGAAAACAACATTGAAGTTATTATTTTTGAATTTGTTGTAAAATTTCCTTTACTTGAGTTTTATTTTCATAATTCTAAGTTAAGCAAAAATAAAAAAAATGAAACATAAATGAGTTATATCTAATAAATTTGCCTCTTCAACTCAACTTTATAGGCCCGGGGACACGGGTTAACCTTAACGGATCAGTCCCAAATTTTGCATAGCTCATTTTTTTTTGAGCATTAAAAAACAAAAATTAAGGGGTCGCGTAAAAAACACATTCGATTTTTGAGTATTCAGTATTTTTGTGCCACCCTAGTATATATATAATATATAAAATAATTTGTTATTGCATCTTTCAATAAAAAAAAAATTGTATCTTTACCATGTAATTACTTTGGCCTTGAGAGGAAGAATTGTGATACTTGTATCCCCTCCAAATTATCTTAGTGGGTAAAAATAAAAGGAATGAGTAATTTTTAAATGAATAATCCTTATAATCATTAAATAATCTTTCAAAGAAACTATGATTCACTTTTAATAATTTTTTTTAAGAAGTAATTGTTTTATTTGAAACATTTTATCCATTCAAAATGTATATCTCAATATAATCATTGCAAATAGCATAGGTAAAATAATAATAAAAATATAATTGTTATTGCATAAAATTGAAATTATATGTTATGAAAAGATACATGACACTTTTTATAGTTAAATAAAGTATTGATATTAATGTCTAATTTGACTTTTGGCTTCACCAAGTATGATTTGCGCAGACTGAGTCGAGAAACGATTGTTTTAGGATGAAATCAAATTAATTAGAAATTAGGAAGCAAGAACTAGAGTTTATACGACGCTTGAGAATGGTTAACCCAATTTCTTATTCAGCACTCTGTCATAGAATTTTGTTTGACTAAATCTCAGTACTAACTAATGGTAATATGTATACGTATAGCTTTTCTTTAACATCTTATTAATTCCTCGGTGTCTTCATTCTGTCCGTTAACAGCTGTCTAATGGTAATGCTTGTATGAAGCTTTATAACATAGGAAGGAAAAGGATTATACTGTTATACAACGGAAGAACATGATAAATTCACGTTCATTGATTAGAGACTGCCGACGATATCTAAAAGCAGCTTAGAATCGCGTCATTTGGGTAGGTTGTAAAATATGTTTCCTATCCCTTTCCTTATAACATCCTCGATCCTGCGATAATTGATGTTCCGCTTAATTATTTTAGCTAAGCGCGTTTGTGCAACCGTTTTTCAAACTACATAGAAAGATTAATAATTTTGCATATAATTTTAGGAAGTAAATTTTATTTTCTTAATTAACAGTTTAAAATTAAAATTACTAAGCATGTACTAAATGTTTACTGGAATAATTATGATATGAACACATTAATTATAAATTATGTTTAATCAATTCACATAAGAAATAGTAACTTAAGTCTTAAGATTATTTTTTCGGCATCTTTCTGTTCCTATCAATGTTTCTAAAACTTCTGAAACTAAACAAAAAGATTATTTTCAATAAGTACAAAATTTAAATAAGATTGCTAACGCGCAAAATACGCTGTGTAATGTTAGACATTGTGGGGACATTGAAAATTTGTTATACACTTTGCATATAATTTCTAATATTCAATTATTTTGCACGATTTAACTCATAAAAATGAATAATATGACAGAAATATATTCATTGTAGTCTTAATAATTAAATCTACCTAGACAATTTTTATAACTGTTTTTAAAAACACTACAGCCACTGACTAAAGTCATATTTTTGTAATTTTTCAAAGAGTAACTACCGAAAACCAAGTAGAAAAATGATAATAAAACTGATCTAAAGTTAGTAGTCATCTATACCCAATTAGTCAACATATCTAAATAATAATTTGACTTGAAATTATAGAATCTATTTGTCAGATTGCGCCTAATAGAGAAAAAAATAGTCAAATATGTTGTGATCGGTACTTCAGAGCAGCAGCGAAATGTGTAAGCACATCAATTTTGCGGACCAGTTGTAGTGCATAAATTTAATAAACTTAAGAATGTTAGTCATCAGTGACGGCCATTATGATGTTACCCTCTTTTTAATGATTGACAGTGTTCCCAAAGTTTTATTCACTCAGCGGTCTCAATTTACAATAAACGTGCTCTTACTCATCGGTCAATATTTCAATATTGTAATTAAAATACTATAAATAATACGTTGGGTATTTAGGATCGGAATATTTATGTTGGATGAAATGAAACTGAAAAATAAATACTTAAGTAAACTCTAGGGGTCTTGAAATAATACTAGAAATGTGTGTTTCTATTGATTTCAATTTATCTTGTGTTATTTTTGCTTAGTTACCTTTTCCAAAAAAGAAACAGACATTATTTGTGAAAAACGAAGAAAATAAATTTCTTTAGCAGTGCACATAGTTGACAAAACAATTAATACGGTTCATAGGCTATTGTTCAGAACATTGTTAGTTTAAGTAAAGGGACGTTAAATTGTAACATTGTTGATGTAAGTGTCGTTTTTGTTTTTGTTTTTCCTTTTTCATGAACCTTGAATATGTGCACATTTAATTAAACCAAGAATAGAAGCGGGCTCAAATTGAATTCAGATAATGTATCCATTGTTAATACTACGTGTGCATCTTAAGACCTCTTGAAAGGTATACAAACGGGTCGATACTCAATGGTGTTATGTCGACTTAGTATTTTAATACTTTCATACTTATAAACATCATAATCTATCCAGAGTTTATACGTTTAGAACACACTGCGTGTTTTAAACGTGTTTAAAATACCAACATTTTCAAAAGTTACATTATGGGATATTTTAAACTGTTCATTTATGTTTTAAGCAATGTTTTATTTTTAAACATGTTTTTTAACAACCCTAAATATATCTAATTATAGATATTGCATAATAACTAATACGCACATTATTAAAATTATGCAGTATCTCCTTATTGAGTGTAACTCTTTAAATATTAAAGAACATAATTACCTGCTAAAATGAATTTGTTTATATATTCTAGGAAAATGGGAAATTAATAAAGGGTATGAAAATTATACCTGATAAATATTAAAATTAGAGCGAGGGGGCTGACTACATATAAGAAATATATGGCAAAAGTACAAAAATTGGAAGCAATTTTCTTAAATTATCACACTTATGACGAGAAACACAAATATTGACGCAAATATTATCAATACGAATGATGGCAAGACTGAACTGGAATATATTTTAGGGAGGGTACTACTGGATGCTATTACCAGGAAATTTTTTTAGGATAGCACTAATATAAATGTAAATTATTGAGTTAATTTTGCTCATTCTAATTTTAAAAAAAGTAGAGAAAAATATTTTTAATGGACAAAAAAAATAGCCATTGGGTTTGCCGAAATTGAGAACCCTGGAAGGCATAATTCTTAAATGCGGTCCTGTATAGACTGAACGGTGACTGACGACATACGGACACGACCGCATGTCTTACGCGTATGTTAAAGGGGATGTGAGGATAAAAGGTGTTAAAGACAACCATTTTCTACCCAACACTACTCACGAGTAAAAAATATGAAAGTATCATACAATTTCCAGCTAGTAAATCTTCTACTTGCATAAGCTGAATAATACGGTTTCATTATCAAAAATGAGGTACATGTCTATGCGAATGTAATAAGTACACATTGCATTTGAATCACGGCAACCGCAATACATTATATATCTTTTGTGCTTTTCTTCGTAATGCAAGTGACCTGATTAGACCAATGTTCACATTTGGTACGATTGAATTATTTTAATATCACAAAAGTATATTTTGTTTGTAGAAATCCTAAACGATATGTACCAATCATAAGAATATTTGATATTTTTCGGTCATAACGTATGCAAAAAAAATACTCATATAAGTGAAGTAAGTATAAGACTTATAAGTCAAATATTAAAAAATTACTTTTCAAGTAGAAAGTACATCAATAAATTTTAAGTGCCAAACTTTATTATATACGGAGTCTTGGTAATGTTGATTATTTTGTGTTTACTGAAGCATGATTAAATATGGATACCTTTTATCTTACTTTAAACTTATGATTATAACATATTACTTGTTGATTTTAGAAATAAGATAAATTTATACGAAAGAGCTAATGGATTTATTTACACGTTTACATAAATATTTTAATGCTGAAATAATAAATGATCTAACAAATGATTATGAATAGTACTGAGTGTCAGTTTGAGAAATACATGAAGAGGCGGTGCGACAGGAACTTACAATTTACAGTTACCATGTTAACCTATTATATATTGCCTATATTTTGTTATGTTTTCCATGGTAATAAAATAAAAAAAAAAACCCAGCACAGTGAGGTGGCGGCACAGTGGGGTCGTGGCATAGATGATATCTGACAGTGATTAAAATCACTATCATAAAAAACGCTTCGATACAAATCTGTAGATAGTGTTTAATTAAAAAAAAAAATTTGTTAAAATAGCATATTTTTGAATATGGTAGCCATTTTCGCATAGAAGATAGGTCGTCGGGACAATTTTTTTCTTTCATTTTATAGTNTCGCATAGAAGATAGGTCGTCGAGACAATTTTTTTTTTTCATTTTATAGTACATAAAATAAGCTTTAATTTGATATATGTTTGAAGGACGCAGTATTTCCGGAACNTTTTTTTCTTTCATTTTATAGTACATAAAATAAGCTTTAATTTGATATATGTTTGAAGGACGCAGTATTTCCGGAACATTTTCAAAAATTAAGTTGAAAAAGTTAATTTTTGTAAAAAAGTTACTATTTTAAATCCCCCCTGTGAGCAGAATAAGTGTTAGATTTTCAAAAAAAATTATATCAAATGAAAGGGAAATATCTAAGGTTTCAATACAAAAAAATATTATTTTTATTTGTTCATTTTTGAAAAAGTTATGGCAGTTTTAAGTACAAAAAACATCCCGATAAAATGTAATTTTTATCGCAAACATTACATTTTTTTTTAAATTTTCGACAGCCATTTGCACATAGAAGATAAGATGTCGGGACAAATTTTTTTTTTTCATTTGATAGTATATAACATAACCAATGATAACAATGATATCAGGTGAAAGGTAAATATCTAAGGTCTTAGTATAAAAAAAAATTATATTGATTTGTTGTTTTTTGAAAAAGTTATGGAAGTTTTAAGAAAAAAAAGTGAAAAAATTTCGAAAATTAGCGATTTTTAAATTTGTAATGTTTTTGGATATTTCCCCCATTTGCGGGGAACGAGGGAATTTTTTTCAATTTTTAAGGGTAATGTCTTCAACTAGATACGATTTGTGATCTTTTGACGTATTTTTGAAAGAAATCGGTCCAGTGAGAGCTGAGAAAAAGTAGCAACAGACATAAAAAAAAAAAAAAAAAAACACATCATAGTAAAATTAATACTTTCTCCGCTTCGCATCGAAGCTAAAATTTTTATTTTATATTTTTTGTGTATGCGTATAATATTTTGTAAAATTTTATTTAATTAATTTTTATACTTGAACATGGTTTCTTATTTTGAAGTATATAATTATAAGATAAACCATAATGGTTATCAAACGCATTGAAAATGATACAATGTGATGAGTAACGAATGAAAAATTTATTTCATGAACTATTCATAACGTATTCAAAAAAATTGTATGTATAAATATTTTAAGACCATAATAGGTGACTAAATGACTCAAAAGAGAACACGTCATGTATTAGGGTTTAATCAGGTTGGTATCAGAGTGAAAACACACTGTGCAGTTCGTTTTATAAAATCATATGTTTTTAATAATTCTTCCTAAACACAATATACGTAGTCCGATTATTTAAAATTTATACTTAAAGACTCAGGAAAAAAATATAAAACTGAATTAAAAATAACATGGACGTATTACAACAGCGACTCGGAAAACAATACATGACTAGATAATTTTCATTTAATTTTTAAAGTTACTATAGAAGTGTTGAAAAATAAAAAAACGTGATACGCTTTTTTAATTTCCAATATTCTGTTTTCATTTTCTGTCCTCTGCACTTTTAAAACTATCATAGATTAAAAATAATTTATTTATGTTTCGCGTATCTCGTAGATATACTAAAAATAACAATTACATTATCACCAAGTTAGTATTACGCAGTAGTGCAAGTTGTATTTTAATGGCTTCCTATAAATTATATAAAATTTGAATTAGAAACACAAAGTAGTATTCTTACAACGCAATATCATATAATTCGAAACTGCGAATATATTACGTTTTTCAGTGTATTGGATTCTCGAAACACGAAGTTATTATTTGAAAACTGTGTGTACTGTCTTATTAAAACACAAATATGTTACAAATTCACAATGTAAATCTAATACTGTATTTTCTACTGCATATTCGTCCACATTTAAAACTAACATAATCGGGAGGCACGTTTAGCGAACACCGCTGGTACTCGTAGTATCTTTTGCCGTTGCGTTGTTTTATCCTTTAAGCCCTCATGTTTACTTCACATTAAAATGCTTACTCGCGTTATTAAAACTGCATGCTACTTCTACGATAAAGGCCGAGCTCAATTGTAAATAAAAATGGAACTAAAATATAAAAAACCCATAAGAACAACGGCAAAAGGAAACAACGTTTATTTAGCTAAATGATAATAGGCTATTAAATCCTCCAGAGAACTAGGTAAAAAAATACAATGTGTTTCGTGTGGTTTAATAATAAAACTCGAACATTTTCCCAGCAAAACAAAACACTAAATGTAATTATTGTGCAGGCATGAAGCTTGTAGGTTTACTTTAATAAATAAACAGCGTGTCGTGGTAAACGTATCGGATAATATTATTTTAATTGAATTAGACACCGATTGGAAATTGTGTTTGAATACACATGATCTGCGTAACGGAATTCCTTGTTTAACTGACACAATATTCGTTTAATTTTAGGTTATTCGTGTAAAAATAAGTAATAATCCATATCACATTTCAACATTTAAATCTTAAGACCAGTAATGTATTATTTTTAATAAATATAAATAAGATTTTATGTTAGCGCACTAGTTATAGCTTCGTAACTTTTAAAAGATGTAAAACAAAGTATTTAAATTTAATTGAATAAATATTGATTTCAAAAAAAAAATAGTAATAATAAATCGGCTAATAATATTAATAATGCAGTACACTGTTTATTTTATTTTTATTTAAATAGGATCGTTTTGCAATGCATTTAATTGAAAATCAAATTTGTGCACCTATTTTTACAGGCATATAACTAAAATAAGAAAAATATCCAAAATATTATTACTAGAACAAGTTAACATGATGATTTTTTACTTAGATTCACGCGACATCTTTGAAAACATAACGTCTATGGCAATATAATACAACCACGCATTGTAAAAATGGGTTTTATTTTTTTTTAAATTGTAATTTTGTTATCACGTCAAAATAACCATTGTGTTGGTACTTGGATTTTATTTGTTTTTCATTGATAAGGTGGTTTGCACAATTCAAGTCATTAAATAATTGGGTTACGGCCAGAATACCAAGTGATCCAAACATCACATTGAAATTTCAGAAAACTTGGTTTAACGTCTATTCATAGTGATTATCTCGTTTCAGTTGAACATGGTAGTAATAGTTCTGATATGACCACGATAAAAATTGTCTTTGATTAGTTTATCTATATGAAGGTTCAATTGAGGTGTTAAGTCTGAGATTTCAGATATAAATAGAAACATTTAATGACCCTCTTTTTTGATGTGCAAAAGATAAACCTACTGGTAGGCAACTTTACTTGATCACTGTACTGAGCTAACAAGTCGGATCCACGAATAGCATATAATGTATCTTTGTTAACAGTGTGAATCACATTAGGTTTATATAACTATTTTAAATAATGGAGCAACGATGCTAACCCACCAATACCTCCAAAATTAATACATTTGATCTATTCCTTTATCGTTCTTTACTCATATTATAAGTGCTAAAAATTTGGATAATTTGAATTCACTTCATTTTTTTTCAGCGATTGATTAATTTTGATGATATTCGTTGAGTGCAGATGGTGCGTTAAATTACTGAATGTCTCTTATAATCTTGAAACGCTCTTGAAGGATTTATTTTACAAAAAGAACATGTAAAAAATTTGTTTGACTTGAGTAATATTCTATAAGCCTTTCGCTGACAACAATAACGATTGATACGGTTAAAAGGAATACACCAATAAAAAATGTGAACAATATTTGAAATAATCGGTCTGAATTTTGGATTAAATCCAAAACTCGCTAAAGTGCCGTCGATAGAATCAAGCTTTTTTATAGAATTTATAATTACTCCCAATCTGGGGATATTGTTGTAAGTAATAAATTATAACATTTTCGTCGATAAATATAAGATTTACAATGCAAGAAATTGTGCATAATGCGCATAAAAAAATCATTTTCAAACTTTTACATAACAATGATATTATACTTACAAAGACTATGCCAAAACTGATTCCCGCAATTCCAAATCAGTTTATTGATAGACACTTAGAGTAAACAATTTATGTTAGCTCACCCGGTTAATAGATTTTCTTAAAGAGTTTTTTTTTTTTTTTGATAGTATAGCGGCATTTTATATTAAAATGGTAGTCGCATATTTTGTGTGGTGGGATAATTGATTAATTTTAAAAGTTTACAAAAATTGTACACTTTTAAATTTAACCATGAATTTTACACATATCATTATGGTTCTTAATGTAAAACATTTCACAATAATATTTCAAGTTTAAATATTTCAAACTTGAAAGTTTCATCGTACTTGAAATGTTTCAATGAAATATTAAAAAAATTAATATTTTTTAAAACAAATGATGAAGCAAATACTTTCTATATTTGAAGTTATATTGAATTCTAACAATTTTTAAATTTAAACATTGTATGTTTAGCTTTTTGAAGCACCCTGAATAAATTATTCTGTCATGCCCATTTCATCACTTAAATGCCAACAATATTATACAACAATATACCATTATATTATTGAAACATTTATAATTTTAACATTTTTAACAAAATATTTAAATTTATAAAAAACTGCTTT